AAAAACATAAAAAAAATAAAAAATATATATGGCCCGGGTCAACCTGTTCGAGTCAATGCATCGGGTCGGCCGGGTCAAGGTCGTGTTGGCTGGGTTTTGACTGAGTTTGATCGGGTTCTTTGTTGCCCGATCCAAATAGCCCACCTGAACTGGTTTCGGGTCGACCGGGTCTCGGGTCGACCTGGCCGATCCGGGTCAAAAAAACTATGAATATAATATAAAATAAATATATTTATGTTACCTTTTATAATATATCATCTCAATTTGAAGTTGGTAAAAATTTATAATAATCTAACCATTCACAACTACCAAAACTTTTGAGTTACACATAAGAGTGAAGTTGGTAATTATAATAAATTAGCTTATAGTTATGTAATAAGTTTATAAGATTCTTATATTATAATAAGCTTTTGGGATACACAAGAGTGTATTTGTTAAATACACTAAATTAGCTTATAATTTATGTATTAGCTTATAACATTCTTATCAAACACGTTAAATATACCAGTTAGATTTTTAGTTATCATCCATAAATTTAAATTTAACTTATAAATTATCATTAAACTTAGAAGTTGTTAGTTAGTTTTTCATTTGGATTTATCAAATACACCCTAAAAACTTTATTTAAGATAGTTTTAAAAAAATATTTTATTAATCCTCTCGTGATAATAAAATTCTTAATTATACAAATATTGAATTTTTATTTTCAAAAAGTCATGGCCGTCCACTTGAGATGATCGGGAGAGCCATTTTATTGTTGACTTCAGACCTCTCCATTTGCTCCGTTAAAGGAGATCTCGGCCACGGGGGCGGCGCCGGCAGAATCGAATTAAAAAGTCGACGGCTTATATGTTGGTTTTCTTCGAAGTCAAAGGAAGAATTTTGAAATTGCATACGTGTAGCTAAGAATGAAAGGACAATAATTTTTTATGCATTATAATTAAATTATAATAAAAATAAACATAACAAGTAAATGTAAAAATATGAAAAATATGTTCTTTGAAGATTAATTAGTACGCAACCCGTGTAAATAATGATAAATCGTATAAACTAAAGTGGTGAAAAAATATCGGTTAGTACAAAATAAATTTGAAAAATAGGATTAATTTTTTTCCTTTTATTTTTATTTGTATAATATTAGTGTATAAATAACGACTTTTACACTGACTAGGGGAAGTTCCCTATTTGTCCCATTTTTTATTGCATTTTTCATGTTTGTTTTGTCTTCTTTTTTTTTTCTCTGTTTTGGATCGTTTCCTTGGTTTCTAGTTAGTTTTGTGGTTTGTTGCGTGTTTTTCTTTATTTTGGATTTTTTTGTGTTATGTTTTTGTTTCTTTGTTTTCTTCGTGTTATTGTCGTTTTTGGTGTACAGTTCGGGAGCTTCGGGTGGATATGATTTCAAAAATAAGTTGTCCATGCAAGCATCATTAACTAGAAAGGTTCGTTGGCAACGTGTAGGAGAAAACGACACTCAATTTCTAGTTCGGACGAGCTCAAACGAACCCGAAACGCAAAGTCACGTAGCCCAGACCCTAGCGGCGTTGTTATATACCCTTAGCGGTGCTAAGAGTGGCAGCTAGGGCTGAGTATGGGACTCAGAGAATTTTGAACCGTTCCAAAAACTGAACCAAAGTCACTCCGAACTGAAAAATAACTGTTGACTGTTTGACTTTCTCCTAATCGAACCGAGCCGAAAAAATAATTGATATGGTTCTGAAAATTTCACAAATATTCATACCGAGAACCAAAGTGAACCATCTCGTAACGTACCGAACCGAATTATAAAATAAATGTGTGATGTTAATATTTTTTATGTCGACTTTGATCCTATATAATTTGATTTTTTTTTAAAATGGACATAAAGTATAGTTATAACAATTAAGCTTCACTTAAATCTCATGCTTAGTAATACTTGAGATCTACAATTGAATTTTCCTGGTTTAAGAAAAATATATTTTTAATGGTATGAGAGGTTAGAGAAATATTATAAAAAAAAGTATTTAAATAATACTTAAATTTGTCGATACTAGTTTTATCATATTTTATAATTTACATGGTATGGAAGGTTAAAAAAATATTACTTTAATAAAAAAACTATATTATATTTTATTTGAATTTTGTCTTAACCTAAAATTTAAAGTTATTTCTCCAGTTGATTAAAAAATAAAATCTTTAGCATGATAAAGTATTGATGAATGGTGGATTTTAAGAAAATATATATATAAATTAAAATACAACTAGGTGACTATTAAAAAATTTAAAAATAATTAGAAATCTCCGAATATCCGAACTGAACCGAACCGTTTCGATAGTCCCAAGAACAAAACCGAACCGAATCGAAAAATGAAAATATTCGAACCGAACTGATTTTTTGATACGATTCTGAAAATTGAATTTTAGTAATCTTCGAACTTCGATATGGTTCTGGAGAACTGTCAATCTCCAAACCGTACTGATCCATGCTCACTCCTAATGGCAGCTAGCGACACTGCTCAGGCTAGCGGGCATCAAAGACTTTTGTACCTGATGCAGAAGAAATATAATAATAATAATAATAATAATAATAATTATTATTATTATTATTATTATTATTATTATTATTATTATTATTATTATTATTATTATTATTATTATTTAATAATTAGTAGTAGCTTAGGGAATAAGCTGAGTTTAGGGTTACAGGTTTATTTAAAGGGCAACTATGATTTGTTATTGGAGTTGATTTTTGAGAATGAAAAATTAATCGTGTTCTTTCGGGAGAGTATCCCAAGTTCGAGAGAGTATCTCGTATTGTATTTTTCCCATTCGTTCACGCTTTCGCTACATCAGTACCCTAGCACCGCT